ATATAATTTTAAAAATATATCTTACATTAACTTAATATATAAAATGATATTTTTTACAAATAAATTTAATTTTTAAAGTTATTATACTTTATTATTATCACTCTTTAAGTATTAATTTTCTATTTATATTCTTATAATTAATGAGTTTTTAAAAATATCACCCCTACTTACCACATTTTTCCTAAAGTAGCATTAACATTTTGGAATGTGAGAATATCATCACCAACCACATTCAAGGACGTTTTTTAAGTGGGCAAAGAATCAGCAGTGAGCTATGCAGGTGAAAAAGAACAAACCAATTGAGTTTCACATCCATGGGGATTGGCCACTCCTTCTCGTCCATTCCATGCTTTTCCCTGCGACTCTTTTCCTGCCACGAGAAGAGATACCGTGAGGCGATTCCCTTACTCTGGAACTGGAATTTTCCTCCGTGCATTAACAGTGTTATATACTGTCCATGTACATATATAAAAATCACAAGTTAGAGACATAAATTTGACCAAGGACAAAAGATATTTAATCTTATCCATTTCAACAGGTCTGATTCATTTTCACATCTTCATTCTTACAAAAGTTTCAGACAACAGTCTAGATCACCTGACAAATCAAGGGTAGTCTAGCAAAATATTCATCTTTAACATCGAAATTAAATGTCAAAACATCTTGTTTTACAGAAGGAGGAGGTTGATACGTTCCACGTCAACAGGGCTAATCCTGTGGCTTTGGAGGTGAAAGCTTTCTTGTCTTTGTCCAAAATGCCACAACTTTTCAATTAGTTAGTTGAGTCAATACAATCCAATGATGCATTAGACAACTTAATCACCGCAACTTTACCTAACGGAACAGAATAAGTTCGTTTACATAAATAAATCAGAAATAATGTTTTCTTACAATATGAAAACATGAAATCTTACAATATTCATATTGACGTGTTTCGTTGAGGGAAAAACGTCAATCATATTTACTGTTACCAAAGATTGTATAGGAACATTAATTGTATGTGAATTGTTTTCCTAATTTAGATTGCATGTGAAATCATTTCAAAGATACCCGAATATTAAAAAACACTCCAAATCAAGGCTGTAGGTTCAGATTGTCGATAATTGCATTGCTCCTAATCTGTACAAAATGCCCATAATAGCTAGTTAGTAAAGGCCTGTCGCTAGTTGGCAAAAGTAGATTGAATTCCTACCCTTCATTGTAATTGGACGACAATCATGTCAATGATGCCTACTGCATTCAGGCAATTTAAACCAGTCCTCACTGAAAAGCAAGCAGTACAGTTCAGGAATGGTTGCTGTGGCCATTATCCAAAGAAAGCGGAAGAAAGGAACAATTACTCAAATCATCATGAAATGTAGGCAATATCCCAAAGATTCAATTTTGTAGGGTCACATGAGATGGAAATTTGGATCTATGAAGCTTATTTCTAACCCAAAATAATGAGCATGTAAGCAAGCATGACGTACTAATCAAAGTGGGATCTTCAGTACAGAAATTTCAAGTATATATGGTTTCGTCTAATGTATGGTGCTGAACTAAACTAAACGCCACTTGAATTCAGTTGGATGATGATTCTGATGCTTGATATATAGATACACAAGGCAAGTACAGACATCATTCCTTAATAAGTGGTTCTCTTTTCTTTTCTACTGAACACAAACTTTGATGATAGGTTTGATTAAATGGTTTTGTTCTAAAACCCATCAAAAGAAAATGTCCCAAAAGTCTCAACTCAATCAATTCTGAGGGGTCCAGCCAGTGAGGAAAAAGATGCAACCAACGGTGCCATTCATGGCTGTCAAATTTCCGTATGAAAAAGGTTACAGGACGTCAACAGCAATTTTAGTGAATCTACCTATTATTAGCATACCTAACTTCACTTTTGATATGCTAAGCAAAGACTGGATCTGGTCTGACCTATGGCTCAGTACCTCAGTATGATGATGCAAAGTTGGTAGTTTCCCATACACTTGATGAAGAAACCATGGGAAAAGAAACATCCCTTCACAATGGATGGCCCCCCAACGTACCACCAGTTGCAGAGATGAATGTTGGGGAGCCTTTCACAGTTGAAATGGTGGATTTCAGTGGAGGTGGAATCATGCAGGACTATTAAAGGAAGACATTAATCATGCTGATCAATCTATTGTGAGTTCTAGTATGTTCTGTTTCATCTAATTTTCTGTTTTCCAACAACATATCAAACAGCTGCAGGTGTTTAAATGCAATAAATTAATCCATACTGATATTTTCCCTGTTGCATGCCTTTTTATTCTCCTCTGGTTCATAACTATCATGCAGCTTGTTGCTACTAATTTTCCATTTCTGACAGGTAAAGACTCTTTACAATAATCTTAAGATGCCATCCTAAACAATTCTCAATATTTTAACCATTAATTTAACTATTTATAGTCAGCAGTTGAAGCTATGAAAACAAAATCTACCCTTCACTCACAACCGGTGGCACTTCCAAATACCACCAGAAGAGTATAGTTGGAAGACTGAGTGGAGGTGCTGTAAAAGAATATGATTCTGCACTCGATATAAAATTCATAGACCTCTTTAGTGTCCCTGATTCTGTCCTGCATACTGTCAAGTCAAGTAAGCACTTATATCACATAACACAGAAAGAAGAAGCACCTTATAAAGTACGGAATAGAACTATTCCTGACATTGGTCAAAAAAAGTTTGCAACATAACTAGCCAGGGAACACTGATCAGCTTTATGTTAGACACCAGTCGATTATGATCTAACTTCTTTTGGTGCAGGTACATTATCTAGGTGGGTCAATAAGGGTCCTACCAAGACAAGGATGGCATACCAGACAAGCCAGGTGAATTTCTTGCAGCTGATGAAATCTGTAACTAGGGTCCTCTACAAGGAGATGAATTTTTTGACACACCATTTCCCTTGCACAACCCAAGCGATTGGTGTTTTGAAGGAATTTATGACTACTCCCCTCGCACAGCAGCTGCATTTTTTATCTTCTGCCTATGTTCTATCTGAAAACTATCTTCAGCCTAAATAAGAAATGTTTTTACCAAGAGATTCTTAAAGGTATTTTCCTGAGTTTCTACGTTTTTATCTTAACAATGAAAATGGTTTCATTTAGATTTGCTCATAGAATACTTATATGCATATCAGGGGTCGGTTTTCCAGGTTTAACTCAACCTGGAATAGTTGGGCCTGCACCATCAATGGAACTCCTAAATGCATAGAATGGAAGGGAAAGAGAGCATGAAGAATATGGTCATCAGAATCTTGCTTAAAAGATAATATGGTAAATCTTGAAGGACCATTCCAAGAAAAGAAAATGGGTCATAGTTTTGTACCATGTGATGGCCATGTGCAGATGCCAGTGGTCACTCCTGAATGGAAAAAAAAAATGCCAGGGAAAGCCAGAAGGACCATTTCAAGATGAGAAAAAGGAGGAAATTGTGACACCAGAGGTTAAAAAATATACCTTTTAGTGTTTGTGGAAGGAGCATATTTGGCAACGAGCACTTTGCCCAAGGTGATGGTGAAGTCTCCTTCTGCAGGGCAATTGAAATGAGTGGTTTTCTAGAGCTCAAGTACATTCTAACCTTGACATTTTTGATATAGGCCAGTAGTTAAGGATAGATTCCCAGTACATTTTTGTTTTTGAATGAGAAATTATGGGTGGGATGAAAGAGTTCCTTAGGCTGATGGGAGAGACTCCCCTTCATGGAAATCCAATCTTTGAGATAGGTCCAGTCAAGCATAGATTCTCAGAATGGTTGGTCTTAGAGGGGCTAAGTGTGATGAGAGTGGAAAGCAACAATTGCTTTATGCAAGTGTTGTTTGTGAACGTGCAGTACTCAATGCAATTGACTCCCTCTAATATTTGCACATATAATTCCTCCAAGAAATCACACAAAAACACTACCTAGTCTATCTTTAGATAATGGAATGACCTATATTTATATTACTGATCTAGAAACAATGGTGACTAACAGGTCTACCTTTTTTTCACCTCTTAACTATGAGAAGGAGAGATCGCTGGAACCAAATGCTGTTGTGACACTCACAATCCCAACTGCAATTTTTGACCAGGCACTATTTCTCTGAAAATCTAGCACTTGCATGTAACACCAGAGACCACACTACCTATTGTTTTCCTTTTTCCCCTTCTAAACACTTTCTTGCTGCGTTTGGTTCTAGTCACTGATTCGATAATACCAGAAACATCCCCAGCATTTTTCTTCTGCATGTAAGCATTCTATACTAGAAATAATGAATCCTTAGCCTATGTTTGGATAAAAGTTAATAAAGGAAAGGAAAGGAAGGGGAGGGAAGGGGAAGGAAAGGGAGGAGAAGTGAAGGGAATGAAAGAGTTGATATTAGTTTTGTTTGAATAAATAAGGAGGTGGAGAAGGATAATAATTTTATTTAATTAAATAATTTAATAAAAATAAAATATTTTTTTAAAATTTATTAAATAAATAAATAATTAAAAAAATTATATATTTATTTTTAAAAAATTAAAAAAAAATTAGATAATACAATTCTCGCCAACTCCTTCAAATTAGAAGGATTGAAAACAAAGGAGGGAGGGGATTCTATCTCCCTCTATCTTCCTCTTCTTTATTAAAATTATTTATCTAAACAAAAGAAGATGCTCTCTCTCCCTCACTCTCGTCTCTTTCCTCTTCAACTTTCTCGATTCAAACAGAGTGTTAAAGTCAGCAAACTCTCAACGAGAAAAGGAATCATCTTATGTTTTAACTGTAGAGAATTTGTGTGCAGCAGATATTCGTCCTAAGACTGAGGTGCCGTGGACCTCGGCTAGTGAGAAAATCAGATGTACCCTGCTCACCACAAAGAACCAAGCTGCTTCAATATAGCTTAGGCGAAGGCAGCTAGAACAAGAAGTGGCCATTGTGAATTATATTCTCTATTCCTATGGGATTTTGCTCATGTTGAAATAACTACAGATGGAAAGCAGCGATGTAGCTTAAACAACCTCTACTTCTAAAGTAAACACACCATCTTGACTGCAAATCAAAATCATCTCCTTAAGACAGTGCTATATGTTGCAACGATTCCAACAAAATTAAGCCAATGATCAGACACTACTACGCAATCATGAATATATTAGAAAACATACAATCATTGATGACCCCTTACAAAAAGCCAGCAGAACAATTTTATGTCGATTAGAGTAAAAGAGTTACCAATTTCTGTATATTTACAAAAATAAAAATACAGTTAACATCCAGATAGCGAGAAACATTCGCTGGAGAAATCACATCATTTAGCAAATAAATTCTTAAAATCTTTCAGTTCATAAATAACTCAGTCAAATTGGTCAAGAGAGATGTACTCCCAAAATTTTTAGAAGTTGTGATCCTTGAAACCTAGTAAACAAAATGGGATCTCATGGACTGATGACTGCTTATCCCAAGAAAGTTACCCCAAACACATAACAAGCTGTGACATACATTGTACACCAGCAGACCAGAGCCAAAGATCTAACTCCACATTCAACACCTGAAAGTAAAAACAGGGAGCCCATAATTAGTGGAAGAAGAATATAAGAAAGTGAAATGCAGGATACAAAAGGTTCGCCCCAGTTTCAACGGCGGAGGAATGGGGAAATAAATAATTGCGTTTTTATGACACTGCTTCATATTGGACGGCAGATCGTAACTGGTTACAATTAGAGTTCAATTTTTGTATGAACATACCGACGTGTATGAGACTAAAATTAATATAGCATGCCGATTACAGGCAAAGAAACATGCACCATGGAATATCAATCATATCACACATCGGTATCCCTAGAAACTCTTGAGTAGAAATATGATATCAAGAATGCAAGATAGTGCCATCCGAAAACATGAATCAAAAGAATGAAAATTAATGAGGTCATATTGGCAAAAAAATGGAAAAAAACATATGAGGTTACCACACTGTTAGTCCAAAAACTTTTTATTAACTGAGTTGACACATCATTAAATAAAGAACCTGGATTGGAACTTGCATACTTTACACATAAATGTAAGGCAGTTTTTCTTCTAATTTAGAATATTGGCCATTTTTCCTCACAAATGAAATAGAAAGCATGACAGTTTTGGCCTACCTGTTTTCCTGATTTAATTTTTATCAGCTCCCTCTTTTTCTCCACAGCATATATAGTGCAAGCCCGTTGTTCAATCTCCTCCTTGCTGCCTCGAACTATTTCACTGTTAGAATCAATAAGGCCAGAAAGGGTAGAGCTATATTTCAGCACACCAAGATCCTTATGTACAGCTGGAACAGTACAGTCTGCGAACATAATGATCGAGCCAATATCATTGAATTCTCCATGTCCCTGGCCCTTGAATGCACCCCATAAATCTGCTGCAAATGTCTGTGCTCTTTTATACAAGAACACCTGGTGGCCTCTGTACACTGAATGGTCTTGAAACCCTCTACAATATTTTAGTTATTCTTGGAATAAATTTTCTTCAATTGCGAGACATAAAAATTCATCTCCTTCAAGGAAAACGGAAAACCATTTTTGAGCCTTATCTTACCTAATGACTTGAAGAGTTTACTTGAACACAACTATACCACGAAAGTAGCACTACCAAGATGAAACACTCTGCAT